CGTCTCGCTCCGGACCGCGCGACAATTCAGCACGGCCACTGGCCGTCGCCGAGACCTCCCGCCGTGCGCACCGCCCGCTCCTCACGCAGAGCGGGTCCGAGCGAGCTCCCGCGGCGGCCGGCCGGCAACTGTGCTGCGCAGACCGGGGTCCGGCCGACAGACCGCCCACGGCGGACCGGGACACACGGCACTCCACAGACTAGGACACGAGGAGCCCCCGCCGCGCCGCCGTCGCTGCCGCCCACCGCCGCCCCTCCGTCCGTCAGCGCCCGCTGAGGCTCGACTGCGCCGGCGGCCGCCGCCGGCCGATCACTTCCGGCGCCGCCGGAACCGTTAGCGCTTCCCAAGCCAGAGCCGGCGGGGTCGCCGCCGGGCGGCGCTCGGCCGACGGCAGGCGGCTGGGAACCGGCGCCGGCCGACGGGCTGTCACGCTGTCACGCTTGCGTGACGCGTGTGTGACGCGCGCGTGACAGGCGCGCGGCGGCGGTGACGGATCAGCCGCGGGGTGGCGCTGGCGGCGTGACAGCCGCGGTCTGCGCGACGGTCGTCTGTGACGCGCCGAGTTGATGAGGATTTGATGAGGCGTCCGTTCGTTTGTTGGTTGGGTGCTCATCGACATCTGTCTGAGCACAAACATATCTTGGGAACCTTTAGGTGTCGCGACGAAGCATGGGCGCCACAACGAATGGCTCCGCGATGGACTACCCCGATCAACAAATAGCTTAGGTGAGGTACTTCTACGCCACAAGCACTGAAACCTGATCGTCCCATTTTCAGGTCTGTCGGCTGGATCGGATGGAAGGTTGCCCGTACGAAGATTCCCTGTACGGGAGCCTCGTTGTCTTCCGCCGGTGGTGGTACCGCTTCACTTGTAACCCTTTATTCCGTCAGGTAGGAGGCCTCCAGCCCGTCCCCTGCTCATCCAGCCTCAGCAGAAGACGTCGCCAAGCGTGCTGCCGTCAACTGCGGTCGGCCCCGCTCCAGCGGCGCCAAACGGCCGAACCGCAGACCGCCTGCCGAATACCTGCCGAGGACGCGATCGCGCGATACCGGGGCGGCTCGCCTGAGAGTGGCCGGCATGTCTGCCGCGGCAGCGGTCGTGTCGCGGCTCTGGTCACGCCCGCGAGGCCTCGGAGCCGATAGAGCGGTAAACAATGGGTGCTGCCCATCAGGCGCTGCTGAAGCCGGAGCGTGACCGGCGTAGGTCTGAGATCGCCGGCGCGTGAACAGTCACGGCTGGACACACAAACAGCACCGACCGCGACATTGGCTGTCGCGCTCTCCCGGGCCTTTCCCCTCAAAGCCGGCTTCTCTGGATTTTTCCAGCGTTCTTTCATTTCTGGACCTCTACTAAAGCTCCTTTCTCTTTGTCTGATCCATCCGTCTATAGCTGTTGGATTATATATATTTCGTGTTCGTGTTTGTGGCTAATGAAAGCCCCTTATTTCACACGGCTGTGCGATATCCTCCGCCACATCTGCAGCCGTGGTGACCCCACATCACAGCTTGTCAATCTGCTCATCTCTAAAGCCGACCAAAAAGCCGTGCATCGCCCGCGGACCCATGTAAACAGCCCACTAACCGCTGGTCGACCGCCAGTGGCGTAACCAATGGTGAAGTTTTGTGGCTTCCCCTTTCCACTCTGCCTCCCCCCCCCTTCCCCCCCCCCTCGCTCTGGAGGAGGCGGACCCCTAGAGCCGAAGGCCCTAGTACTCTTTGGCAGTTTCAAATGCCCATAGGGCTTTAAAACAAAACGAACGGGCCCTAAAGTATCAAGGTGGACCACAAGCCTAGAAAAATGTCATCCGTGTGCAAAAACAGGGTCCTACAGTGACGAAGAAAGGCTCCTTTGTTTGCAGAGCCCCTATAACCCGAGTTGGTGCCCTCCTGAGCGAAATCCTGGGTGTGCCACCGTTGGTGGCAGCGCCGCCCTGCCACCAGGATAGCCGCAGCCGCGCAGTTCCCACGGTCGTCCGCCGCCCTGCCGTGACGTCACAGGTCGTCCCCAGCCGGCCAATGACGCCGCGTCTCCGCGAAACCGCCGCCGGCTATCAGCCAGATGATCGGCGATGGGCAGGGCAGTCATCGCAACACACGGCCTTGGGCGCAACAGTTCGGCGAAGCTGGCAGTCGCGGTCGGGCCCACACGGACCGCGGGCTCATGCTGGAGTGATGGCGCTACAGATGGCGCTGACTGGGCGCCGGAGGGCTGGCAGCACACTGATGATAGTAATTAGGGGAGTTGGCTCACGGCGTGAGTAACTGATCTAGCTATAAGCGTTGCAATCGCTCACGAGGGACTGGTCGTGTTCTAGGGCGGCCTGACAGCCTGATGGTTGAAATGGAAAAGAATGTTATCGACTTTTTATCCTGTTCGGATTGCATGACGCTAGTTTGCTGTGACAGGGTGCATGATGAGAAGGGCGCCTTCGTGAAAGGGTAACACACATCTCATGCAATCTTTACTCGTGAATGTGTGTGACGTTCAGAGTGAGACATGGGAAAGTCCGTTTCTATGGGTGCAGGAGCATCCTCGGATGCCGCCGTCCTTCAGACGGATCAAAGCCTGATCTCCGCGGATCGAAGCCGGATCTCCGCTGATCTGCGCCGGATTTGTGCCGGAACTGCGCTGGATGTTCCGTGGTGGACACTGAACGGGCGGCCACCGGACCGGAGCGGACTGGGGAGAGGAGCAGCACGCGCCTCCCCCCGAGCGTGCCAGGACTGTGGGCAGCGCTCTGGACCATGTCTCGCCTCGGCCGTGTCTCGCCTCTGACTGTGTCTTGCCTCAGTCTGTGTCTCGCCTCTGATTGTGTCTTGCCTCAGTCTGTGTCTCGCCTCGGTCCGTGTTTCACCTCGGACCACGTCTCGTCTCTGACGGCATCTCACCTCGGTTCGTGTCTCGCCTCGGTCCGTGTCTCGTTTCTGACCGCGTCTCGCCTTAGTCCGTGTCTCGCCTCGTAGACCTCTCTCGGGACAATTTGTGGAGCCTCGGCCGGCAGGGTAGAGGCCTTGAAACTAAATATACCGGAGAGAGGGATCAGACGCCCCGACGTCCTGCTGGGGTAATGGGCGACGGGAAGGTGAAGTGAGCTGTACAGCATGCCGGCGTGTGACGCGTCACGGTCACAGCTAGCAAAATAGCCCCGAGACTGTCGACATAAACAAGACGGCACTAGTGACCGCCTCAGGTAGCGAGCACTGTCGCAGACCAAAGCACAACATTAAAAAGTAACGATTGCAATAAAGCGTTGGTTCCCTAGCCGATTATACGGCGGGCCACAGCCGTCTGTCTGGCGAAGTCTAATGGCTGCTGGCGGGCTGACGGCACCGAGATGAAGCAGCTGACTGCACAGGCCTGAGCCAGAGCTCCAGCACCGAGTTATCATGGACAACTGCTGGAACAGCGATCATGGGTATGATAGCAGGCGATGTTGTGTTGTTGTTTGTCAGGCCAGGCAAGAAACATGTGAACCAGTGGTGGGCGGCTATCTTTGAGTGTTAGATGATCCGAGGTCTCTCCTCGAAATATGTGCGACTGACATCATGTGATGGTTAGACAAAGTACGGAGGAGTTTCATAAATCTTAGGGAGGTTGATTACGTTTTAGATGTGAACACTTTATAGGGCATACACGCTCTAAACAATCGCTGCTGCCCAAACATCCGGTCTAAGGGCAATCATTTTAGCAGCGTTATCATGCGGAGGGTAGCCAACGTAAGCAGAATGTCCAGCCAAGGCAAAGCTATCACAAAACAGACGGAATCTGGTTGGAGGACTTAAGACATGTGTGGGTCAGGTAATGCACAAGCTCCGGTGGAAGACTTGCGAGTCTGACAACATCGGAGAGACGCGCTCAGGGCGCATGCCGCTCGACCCCACACATACTCATCATGCCAACATCACATCATGCATCACATCACATCACTTTATCATCACATCACATCACACGATCACTCTTTGCCTGAGAGGGCCGGATGAACTGCGGCGAAGCTTGCGACCTTTTGGCTTACGAGTGCTTGGATCCCTACGACACACTCCATGGTCCACTGCCGCTCGAGCCGAAACCGGTCCGGAAAAGCTAAGGTCGTCCGAGATCTTATCAGTCAGCTTTAGTTCTCAGAGATCGCGTTCGCGGCCCGCGAACGCTAGCAGCCTTCGACGGAGTCAATACCGGTGGTGCCGGTGATATATCACTGGCACCCGGCGACGACCGCTATGCGATGTTTGTCAGCGTCGGATGTACTGCATCCCAGAGAGAATGAGTCATCTGTCTAATCTGTCGATAGCACGGCGAGCCACGGACGTCTGTGGCCGGCTTTTTCGGCGGATTGTGTTGCGTCAACCACAAGTACGAGACAGACGTCTTCCTGGACCCAGCATTCCTCCCCAACATGGTCCGGTAGTTTTCCAGGTGATGAAAATTGAGCGGGTGTTTCACAACATGACCGCCAGATTCCGTGCGTAAATTGTATTATGACAGAATAAAACCGTGCGGTTCTGTACGAGTATAGTAAGCGTGTTTGGTTTGAGAGTGCCGAGGCAGCGCTGAGCTTATTGAAACGAATCCCGACCCGTCACACTAGGTAACCAAACGGCTCAGGTGGGGGCCAGCTAAACCCTATAGCAAAAGTTCTCTAAACAAAAACTCACCGCTTGACCGACCGGAGTCCATCTTAGCACACGTTTTCTGTAGACTTGACCCCTGCCCACTACGGGAGCCCAGGCTGCGTTACTGACTAATGAAACATTTGAACGTGAAAATGTGGGATATTACGGCATTTTCTGGCTGATATGATCTGTTTCCTTTCCAGCATGCCGTTCATTACACTCGAATATTTATGCGAAGCATTGGTGCCAGCAGCCTGGGCTGTGCACGTAAAAATGCACACCTAATGCTACTCTCTCAGGCGAAAAGGCAATAGATGCATCGTATGCTGACAATGCGACACAACGTTGGCGAGGGCGTGCTGCTATCGGCGATGAGCCAGTCACTGTACCTGGATATGGTGGACCTTTTCTCCTCGGGTCTGTGGGGGCCGCCGTTCAGTCCGTTGGATCTCATCCATAGTTCTCGCTCTGAAACAGGACCAAACGCACCACTCAGCTGACGTCGGCGACGACGGGCGGCGAGAAGAAGTCGGTGGAACCAGCGCCGTAAGGGACGCATACGTGAACGACGCGATCGACACACACACATCCCACAATCATCGTCACATCACATATTGTCACCTATCATCGGTAAGCAGCGATTAATGGCCCGGTCATGTAGTGCGAGTGCATTCTGCTCGCTTCTACCTCACGAGCCGTGATTCAATTCGAGATGGCTGCATGATAACTGCCAGGGTGCTGTGTTGGGCTGCATACAACACATCTCAAAAGGCACCGCCAACTGGTTTACAAACTGGGTGATTAAGCTGAAGTCACGTTCCTTCCGAAAGAATTGGCGTCATATACGGGGGCGGTTCGAGTCGAGCGCTGTTGCTGGTTGCAGAAGCAGGTAGGAGCTGCAGTCAAGACACCTTCCTGCTCCCGGTTATTGGAGGCTCCGTGGTCGACGTGAGTAAACTGGCTAATGCGCGAATGACCCAGGGCTGGTCAATTCAAGGAGTGCCGAGCGTACGCCCCGTTCTCAGTAGCAATATATCCAGGGACACTGCTAGTGATCCGTGGTCAGGGGCCGCACTGCCTCGAGCATTGACGCTATCCAATTTTGGCAGTTGCAGTGCTTTCATGAAAAACGAACATCTGAATTATCATGTTTGGTCTTTGCCACTACTCATCAACTAACCAGATTTCTTTCTTTTCGTCTCTTACTCACTCACTTTCTCCTACGTTCCCGCCCACCCTCTGTCTCCCTCTATCCATATCTCGTTATTTATATGTCCTTTCTCTCTTCCCTCCCACCTTCCATACGTCGCTCTCCCTCTTGTTCCTATCCAAAGCTCACTACGCATCATTTACATGCGCCTACAGCGCGTTGTGGGTTGTAATGGGCGTGTTCATGTGGCTGCAAGCGACAAGTAACGAAGTCCGAAATCAGGCAACAGCAGGCGAGATGCTGGAGATACACGGTGTGCCCGTAGAAGGCGTCATAATTCACTCAACCAGACAGGATGCCGCCCGCTGAATGATATTGAACACGCGTCCCACTGGGCCACACAAGCAGCCCAGAGAGCGCCGAGCGCGCCTCGCGTTCGAGCGCCGGCCGCACGAGGCCGAGCCCTGGCTGCGTAAGTCACTCACCAGCGGCGCCATTGTGCGATGGACTTCTGTGAACAAAGGCTCATCGATCGTCTGGCCGGAGATCTCCGATCGGGCTTAGATCTCGTCGGAAAGAGCCGTATTTGTAGCGGCTGGCACGCGCGTGATTCAGCAGGAGTCCTCGGCGACACTAAACCCGCATCCGAGCGTCTCGGCTTTCATACGAGCATGGCATCTGGATACTAAATCAAAACTTCAAGACCGTTTCTCATCGTCAATGGCCCATAAAACAGGCAGAGGTCAAACTGAATACCAGCTGTGATTGAAGGGAGACTTTATGCCCGGCATAATATGAACAAGGTCAGGAGGTGTGTTCGTCGCCCATTATCGATTCTGCTAGAGCGCAGAGATGGTGCAAGGTGCCGTACCGCACCTGCACGGTGTAACTTCGCATGCTTGGCTCGACTCAGCTGTATCCGAGGAACGTAATAGTAGAATGTCAGGTTGTGGAAATGTCAGGTAACTGTCGGGCGTTTCGGAGACCTCAGGTAATCGTCCGCTTTCCTCCTTGTCGTTTCCATTTGCCGCTTCGGATCACACGAGACATGTCATGTTCTACATGGGAAGTCTCGTGTTCTGTATTGGGCAACCTCTGCATGAATTATCCCACCGCATGGCGCATTCACTTTTGAGGACGCGGACAAGTCCGGATCCTACCCCCCCCCCCCCCCCCATCCCCCTCTATCGTGCCGAAGACGCCGGATGTCAAACCGAAAAAGGGCCGGACGGCGGTCACGAGCGGATGACCAAAAACGGGCGCTCTTCCGTCACGGACCGGGTCAGGGGCGCCGCCAGACACGCGGCGGTGGAAGCGCAGCCCGAGCGCGCCTGTCACCAGCCAAAAGCAAGCGTGATGTAGGTGTGCAAGACTCTAGAGCACGTCGATGCCGGATTCTCAGGATGCAAGTCCGTGAGGAGTGAAGAGAGTCTGTCCGAGTCGTACGCAAGGAAAACGCAGTGATGGTGCTCCAAGGGCGCCCTCTAGCTGAGCCGCCTCTGGTCACGGTCGCGGACGTACCGCGCCAGGTACGTGGTCCTGAACATTACGCCAAGCTGGTCCCAAACGAGGCTAGGGTTCGGGAGGAGTGATCTGAGGAACGGGTGCGCGACACGTGACGACATCTGTCGCGGAGTGTCCCTAATATGCCGACCCAAGTACTGGGGTGCGTCGATGAGGGGCTGTGGCATGTACAGCGGCTGAAAGCTTGTCCCAAGTCAGAGCATCCAGGGAAGCTGACCCAAAAATGGGGTCGAAAAGCATAAGAAAAAGCCTGAAAGAAACCAGCACGGCGGATGATCCAGCTGACACGTCGCTGCACCGACGTCGCCGACGGCACTGAGCAGCCTGTTGATCTGCCATTCGTGCACGAGATCGCCATCTGGGTCCGGTGGCTGGCTTCTGGTCCAATCAGAGTCAGGCTCGCTCACGCGTGCCGCAGGCGCTGCACTAGATCTGCCATATGCGTCGCTGACGGCAGATGCGAGCGAGCCTGTCGGGGTAGCCCGTGTGTCTGGTTCAAATACATGAAAGATATCATTAAAATTAGGTCTCAGAAGGTTTGCAGCCGGTTTTTAAGTTGAGGGTATCTTATAGCAACAAATCGTGCGCCTGTATTTGGCATTTGTCGCCTGGCGCTGATTTGCCCTTTTAACACTGTGACGCGTCTACGTAAAAATGCACGTCGTGATCCTAGCACATCACTTGTCTCCGACTTTATTGCTGGCATTATGAGCTATGACGCTTTATATGGGATACGGCCTGTGCAAGGTCTCCCATTCGCCTCCGAAGGCCGACGAAGATATGGGCTTATTGGTCTAAATAGAAGGACACATAACACGTGAAAGGATCGTACAGACATCTGAATTCTAAAAAGGTACTTGCCTTTATAGGTTGGCAGAGTTCTGCAACTGTTCTTAAATGGCCTGTTCAAGTGACTTGACTGCTTAACCTCGTGGCTCAATACGACAAGTGTCCAGCTACTTTAAGTGCATACATGTGCGGTTACCAACGCACTTGGTGGTGCGTGCGCCGTGAGGCAAAGAAAGCTCAGACGTTAACATCACTTGTCAAACACATACTCAGCTGTAGGGAAAATCTGTGTCACGGCGGTATTTGCCCTCTTCCTCGCCATTTCGTTTCCCGGAGACGGTAACCAAGAGAGACATTGATTTGAAATTTTCAGTACATTCACATGAACATGTAAGATAGGCCGTGCCAAAAATCAAGCCTAATGCAATCCTAGGTCATGTCATTTCACGCAATAATGCATCCGTGTTTGCTAGTCAGTGTTCGCCGTCCGCGCGTGCCGCAGGTAAAATGGAATTTCGTCTGCTTGCCACCCTGTGCAGAACAAGTGAGATACGGGGAAATTTTTAGCTACGTAACCAGGCTTTCAAACAGCCTAAGATGAAGTCATAATTAAAGATAGGATAAGATCAGATAAAAGCTCGCGAGGAGCGTAATAAGCCAGGGCCAAAAACATGTTTCCTGCCACTCGAGCTGAAAAAATAAAATACTGAAGGTAGTGAGAGTACTGAAGGCACTGAAGGTACATACAACTCCTAACGATGATTCAATGATATTCTTAAACATATCACTGAGGTCATAAGTATACTTCTGCGGGCAGTTGGAAAAGCTGTGGACGACGTCACGCTGCTGAAACAATTATACAGGCGCGCAAATTTCTGACCAGCATCTATGACGGCTCAGGTCTGTTCTTCAGGCTGAAATCATGCACCGCATTACAAAGTGACTCGAAGGATGAATGTGACTCGGTCACCTGACATGGTCTTGCGTGGCCTACGCTCAATATGAGCCACAATGGCACAAGTGATTATCTATATCATATATTTGGCTTTTCCCAGCCCGACCATTCTCTGATTTGTGACAAAATTATTGTTATCAGAACCAATGAGACATTTTCACTTGGTCTGACTCTTGACATCATGAGCCACCGCTCAACTCACAAATGCCACCTTGATCTATAAGCAACTGATCGTCGTTTGATTCAGCGCAATCTACCCATCACTTACGGTGATATAGATGGGAACAAAAATCCGCCAAATCTGTGCGACGTGTTTGATAAATATTGCGGCAACGCCCAGGCGAAGACGCTGGATTCACCCGTGATAATCCGCTTTGATAACGGCAGGAATTTTTAACATTGATGTCGAAGAAGCCGCCGACTATGGCATGGCGCCGCCTTCGACGGCTGTTACTTTAGAGGCGGCCGCGGCGCCTACGCCGCGGCCGCCTCTATGATGGAGTCACGGTCTCACGGTCTGTTTGGAGGGCGGCTCCCCCAGTGTGACGGTCGCACAAGACGCCGCGGCCGCCTCTATGATGGGAGTCACGGTGTTTGGAGGGCGGCTCTCCAGTTTGACGGTCGCACAAGAAGCCGCGGCCGCCTCTATGATGGGAGTCATGGTGTTTGGAGGGCGGCTCTCTAGTGTGACGGTCGCACAAGACGCCGCGGCCGCCTCTTTGATGGGAATCTGGGAGAGTATGATTGGAGAGTATGATGGGAGCTTCTACGTCGGCACCGGACCAGCGGCCATTCCGGTCTGAGCCGCCGTGTCTGGGGAGGGCCAGCATGGCCAGAGCTGTTTGTTTGGCCGGGAAGTGAGAGGAATGCGCGTGGGAGGTCAGCCTTCGGCGGAGAGACGAACGCACGACGGCACGAGCCGGCTGCGGGGCATGGGGAGAGCATGGGAGGAGACGGCAGAGGGCACGTGAGGGGACGATGACGGAGAGAAGAGCAGAGCGCGCACGACGTGGCCAAAGGGGCGAGGAGCAGGAGAGCGGGAAGGAGAAGGGGCAATGGAGAGGGGCAGGGAGAAACGCAGGGGTGGAGTGACATATGGGTAGAAGGAAAGAGGCCTAGTGCAGTGTGTGAAAATGGAGCAGGATCAGATGGCCACGCATCTTTAGCGGCCGGCTGTCATTCAAACGTCATGCGGATGAAGGATTTCCTCTGACCGACACGATGCGCCGCTACGATCCAGTCATCCTCCAACGAAAACCCCAAAACTGTTTCGAGCGTGCAAAGTTGCAAATTCCGACAAAAGGATGAAATAACCCGCAACCAGCTGATGACGGAGGCCCCAAGGCCACAAATTGCCCAGGACCTGGTCTGTGTCACCGTTGTCCGTGGGGCTAACCGTTGGGTTTCGGGACCGTGTCATAGGCCGCCGAGAGAAGGAGGCTGCTGGGAAGACGTCACACACGATGTTAGCAAAGCCTCCATATTACGGTCCCGTTCAGCGCAGGTTCGGACTACCGAGCCGCAGAAGAAAACACGAAGAAAGCATTAAAAGCCCGCACCGAACACGCTAATGTTTGTGCTGGGTAGTTCACGACCATTTCCATGCAACCGACATAAAACCGTGTGTAAAGAGGGCGGCGAGAATTTGGCACGGCTGCCCATAAGGCATGCAAATGGGGTCAATGTGGAGTTGGTAATTATGTGGTTATTGGGTGTTTATAAATGCGGCTGTGGCTGTGAGGTATGCGATGGGCGTTGCTACCGTTAGAGACCGCAGGCAGAGAAGTCAGCACTCACCACCTTTGCCGCCTCCTCCTCACTCTCCTTCCCTCCCAACATCTCGCCTCCCTCCCGCTCTGCCTATATCCACGGCCCCGCCATCCTCCGTCGCTCCCTCTCCTTCTGCACTACCCTCTCTCCTGTTGGTATGTGGTCCACTGCCCATCTCTATCTCGCCCCCGGACGTTCCGCGGGTCGGCGCTCAGCCTATGCCCCGGAGACGGACCGCATCGGATGGGCTGCTTCGGAGGCGCGGCTTCGGAGGCGCGGCTTCGGAGGCGCTGCTTCGGAGGCGCTGCTTTGGAAGCTGCTTCAGAGGCGCTGCTTGGAAGCGCTGCTTCAGAGGCGCTGATTTGGAAGGCGCTGCTTTGGAGGCGCTGCTTTGGAGGCGCTGCTTCAGAGGCGCTGCTT